TTTTTTTTTTTTTTTTCCGTTCTCTTTCATTATTCGCAGAGCACTTTCATAGAGCCCGAGTTTATACGCTAGTCTGGAATCATATAAATGCACATATTATACAGTAAAGACAAATCCTTTATCCTCTGGAAAAATATTCTGCTTTTGCATACCGCATGACCTCTACACGAAGCATTCTCGATTAGCGACAGAGGAACCGCACCGGTCCTCCTTCTGTTGCCGTTTTCCCGTGGACCAGAGACCGAATTCGACACAAATTATGCAAATACGCGCAAGAACGATAACGATATAAATTGACGGTTAATCTGGTATAATAAATTTTTTTATCGAACAATTTCTTATGAAGACGATTCGCCTAATTATTATATAGGTACTTAACATCCGTTCTATTAAAGCGCGCAAAAAATGTGATTAAGATTTTATATTTTCTTAAGCATTGTAACTTGCACTTTTTCGATAATCAAAATTATTGGAGAAAAATATACGTGAGATTTTTGCTATAATTTAATTTCACGAAAAATTTAATTATTTATTTCTGAATATTTAGGAAGGAACGTTATCGCGTACGAACGTAATTGACTTTGGCAACTTAAAAGTCGTGAATGATACGAGAAGAGGACAAGAATTCGAAATAGAAATCGGCCGGCCTTGGTGTAGTAATCGACTATACGGATATTCCATTTAGTGAAATTAGAACAGCGCGAGCAGCGATACTGAGAATAATGCAGGAAATCCGGGATAATGCATAAATGCATAAGCGCGAAGGTATTAAAGATCAACCAACCGCGCAATTCGTGCAAACTACTTCAAGGTCACGAGAATTCGCACGTGCAAAAAGACCGTTGCGTAAATGGGTTTCGACGAGTGACGGATAAAACAGCAGCAGAGAGGAGTCTCGTTTCAAGCGCAAAGGATCCAAAGATTTCGTTAGCGGCCGCATCGCTAAATCGGTCGACGGAGGAAGTGAATCATTCGCATCAACGTTCGCGATTTTATTGCTGCTCTTCTCATTTATTCGATTATTTACACGTACTTTATGCGGAAAAGCGAAAGATACATTTCTTAGCCGTCAAAGAGAAGCTTCATCAACCATCGTTCCATTTTGAGAAGTGAAAACTTTATTGCAGAAAGAAATATTTATATAATAATAAATGCTTTTCCTTTAGTATAATATCTTATATATAGTATAGCCAAATTTTAAATATGACATTAATATTAAATTAATTGATGCGATATTTAGGCAAATAGTTTTTATTTACACGATTTTTATTTTGTTATATTATTATCTTGTGTATAATATCGAGAAATAAGATTTTCGACTCATTATTTATCTCTCGAGATAAAATGTTATCATCATAAATATTAATCTTTCTTCACTTCTTGATTGTTTATTCACATGATGAGATAGACATTTTTATATAACTATATTATCAATGAGATGAAAGTGATGGAACGATTCGCAAATTATAAATTTGACACTAATTTTAACTCTCAAGGCATGGTGTTTTCGTTGTTATGGATAATAAACTTGGACTGTTTCGAGATTATTTTAAATATTATTCACTTCAAAATAACAATAAATTATGAAATTCATTTTAATTAATTTTCTGAAAAAAGTTTCTGAAGCAAAATTTGGAAAAAAAACTTTATTTAAAATGTATCATTTATGTAAGTAACAAAAAAGAAGAATATATACATAAATATGTATTTTTCAAATTTAAAAAAAACGATCGATTATATCTTGAGAGTTAATGAGATCTATATATCTCTAATTATGAATTTTTCATTCGCACGACGTGAAGGAACATGATGACATTGTAAGCAGGTACATATCTATACAACACACAAACGAGCAACTTCGCAGTCGTCCAAGATTCAGCAGGCGGCCGTCAAGCATCCCTGGTGCCAGCTACGCTACGAATTCTACGTCAGCGATCAGGCGGTATGCACGATTAGTGTGTAATACTAACGATTAGAATAGTTTAACGGTAAACAAAAAAAAAATATAACAAAAACAAAACAAGAGTAGTCAATTAAAAATATATTATAGCAGTAACAAGTATATAACACAAGAGAATGATAGAATACATATATTAACGGAAAAAAAATGCACAATATATGATCCTCGGGGAGTTTTTTTCTTTTTTTTTTTCTTCACTCACGTTTGCTTGAGCATTTGGGTTTGGCAAGAAAGCAATGGTTGATGATTGGTCGTGGTAGCAGATAGTGAACACGCTCAACTATCTGTTGAGCTGTTCGTTCGCGTTGATTTCTTTACATTTTTAAGACTTACTTGACAAGCACCACGTCTGAAAGTTCGGTTTTCACACCCTGCTTCTTTGGCTCGTATTCCGCTATCATCGGGCGCATTGGCGTTCTCTGTAACAGAATAAGGAGGGTCGAGCTGAGTCGAATGAACCTACGACATCCGCGAAGCGAGCGAATTAATCAAGCGAGTCGAAAATAGACGAAAATTATCGGCGAATGCGGCGACACTTTTGGATACATCGGAATGGCAATGACCCGCTCGTGATTTTGGGAGGGGAAACGGATTGGGGTAGGTCAGTTTTACAACAACGCTGGGATTATAGATAGCCTTTGCATGCCCGATGCGAGTCCACGCATTAAACTGCATACACATGCGCTCTGTCGTTTACTGGGCGTGTTTCACTGGACGAGTTTCCGGGTTTTACAACCTGTTTCGGCTGTCGACTTGACATAATAATGATGACTCTTTGGTAAATCAGTCAGCCTTAACGCGCGTCATCGCGCAATCGCGCAAACCTCATTCAATGACGCGTGAATTAAATAAAAAAACGTACAATAAAGATTTGGACCAATTGTCGAATCTTCGAAAAATTTTATAAAAAATTTATGTGTTATTCCACATGAACAAAATATTCTAGGATCGTCTTGAATGTGCTCAGGATGTCCTAAGACAAGGTATTGAAAAGGTATTTGAATATTGAGAAATTTCTTTAAATACATCTTGTTTCCTTTAAACTTTGCTACCCTTGTCGATTAATGAATTACCTTGATTATTAATTATTATAATTCGTATTCACCATAACATGGGGACGATCGTTCACCGCCGCTATCGACAGCGAGCTCATTTCCACATCATGGGAACTGTCGGTATTCCCCATTTTCGCTTTCTTTCGTCTTCCTTCACTCTTTGAAACGTAATTGAGACGTAATTAATCTTGATAAACACTGCCTAGGTTTCGCAGAAGGACCAATGTTCATTCGCATCACGTGTCATCCATTGACACGTTATCAATATTTGGAGTTCACGTCAGGTAACATTCGGCCATTAATCCGGCTCCAATCTCGATCAGCGGCGATCGAGATCCCCGATCCAGAAAACGCACCACGTGAAGGAGGAAGAATCAAATCAAGCCGCGAGAAAAACGGCGGAGAACGGCGCGGAACGTTCGCGCGGAGCCGACTTTGAGGATTTCTTTCCCCTTGGAGAAGAACGCGGGCTCTTTCGCGGGTGATCGCGAAGGCATTACGTCATTCGCGTTAACGCGTTTCGAGTTCGGTCCTCGCGGGTCCGGAGAGGTGAAGCGCGATGAAGCGAGGACGAACAGGAGTCTATCTTTAAGCTCCGCTCCGCCTATGGCGCGGTGTCTCCAGGGGAGAAGCGCGAAAATCGATCGCGTCGACGCGCGAATGCAAAACGACGACGGGCGTCGCTTGCGGGAATGGATGGACGTTCGCGAAATGCCAACGGATAAACTAAGCTTGTGTCTCGTGTCCTCCCCGCGTGTATTCGAGATGTTCCTCTTCTTCCTCCTCCTCTTCTTCTTCTTCTTCTTCTACCCGCGCTCACGCGTCCACGCGCGTCTCGAAAGCTCCCGCTCTATGTACGGCGCCGCGCACGGCGCAGAAAAGCGCGGCTACCGCTGCCAAAATCTTTCGGCAATGCTCACCGAGGACGGGGGGGCTCTCTTTATATACCGTACGACTACGAAAATAGGAAGAGCAAATGGACGCGGGCTCACGTGAGCCGCGCGTCTCTCTGCCGGCCATCTGATCGACCGCTAACCAGGTTTAAACAGGATTCTGTTTGAACGGCGGTGACAGACGGATCCCGAAATCGTCAGCCGCCTCTGCAGTTTGGCTCGCGTATTAGAGGATACGTCGTTCATCGGCGATTCATCTTCTCACGAGGAAAATACATGTATGACCGTGTCCTAAAAGTCCTGGAACGATCAAATATGACTAAGCGTAAATTAGAGAGAGAGAGAGAGAGAGAGAGAGAGAGAGAATTTTATTTATACATCATTATCCACGTCACACGTTTACTGTCTCCTAAGTTTATTTTAAAGCGGAATATTTTTTACATGCTAATATTTATACTTCAAAAATAGACGCGATTTTCAGTTAGTTTGGTAGTTCCATAATGGCTCTCGTTATTTCACGTTAAAATCATTATGACAAATTAAGTCGACGTCGTTAAGAACAAACGTACGTGTAAATACATTCGCGCGAACGAAGCTATCGTTTAGAGCGCAGCTGAAAATTTACTATGTCGAGTCTAAAGATGAAACGCGAAACGTCAACAATACGACAGACGTAATCTACCTATCCAATTTGAATAAACTGTTGACCGAATACAAAAATATTCATCTCGGACATCAATCCTTTCGGACATCAATCCTTTTTTACGAAGTCAATCCTCCGAAACGCGTAAGCTGTTATATATATTACGTAAGCGAATAAGCGCGTTTTGAATTCGTCTCGCGTTTTTCAGAGGCAACACATACGTTTTACAGTCCACACTTAATTTCGCATCGTAAAACTCGTTCGCGTTGAAAGTTTGTCGGTCGGGTTCGTCGCGTAACCCACACACGTCCCTTGTGCTTATTTCGGATATCGGTAGCGTCGTCAACGACGCACGGGGCATGCATCCGTAACGGCGCCTACGCATAATATCCCGTCCTGTTCCGGTCGACGGTAAATATCTAAACCTGTGCTCGACGAGACGTTCGCCGAACACGCACACTGAAACCGAGAAGACCTGATTCCTCCTTTCCAATTGTATACCTTCGTGTCGGCCGGCCTCGCCGCCGCCGCCGCCGCCGCCGCCGCCGCCGCCGCCGCCGCCGCCGCCACAA